GCTGCCGCTGCTGCTGCTGCTGCTGCTGCTGCTGCTGCTGCCGCTGCTGCTGCTGCTGCTGCTGTTCGGGGGCCTTTAATGGGCTTCCACGCGCACAACGCGGCCTCCAGCACTAAAGGGGATCCCCGTTAGCGTAGGAGGAGAGGTAGGGGCGGGGGACTTATATAACGAAAGCAGCAGGTGCTGCAGCAGCAGCAGCAATTGCTGCTGCTGCTGCTACTGCTGCTGCTGCTGATGCTGCTGCTGCTGCGGGGATACAGAATACACACAAGGAATATAAAAAGACACACCGACGAAAGTGTAATAACACAGACTACTCACAAGAACACAAAAGGGCCAGGCAGTGTTGGCTGCTGCTAGCTGCTGCTGCTGCTGCTGCTGCTGCTGCATCTGCTGCAGCATCTGCTGTAGCATCTGCTGCCAAGCCCTCAATAAGAACAAGAACCGGAAAAAAAAGACGGGGCTTACGCCACCGTCTACACCTAAAGTTGCTGCTACTACTGCTGCTGCTGCTGCAGCAGCTGCTGCTGCAGCAGCTGCTGCAGCTGCTGCAGCAGCAGAAGAAGCTGCTGCTGCAGCAGCAGCTGCTGCTCCTAGAAGACCTTGCTGCTACTACTGCTGCTTCTGCAGCCTAAACCGCTGCTGCTGCTTCTAGAAGAAGTTGCTGTTCCTCCCATAGCTGTCTCGCCGCTGCTCCTAGAAGTCTTCGCTGCTGTTTCTGCTGCTGTTTCTGCTGCTGCTGCTGCTGCTGCTGCTGCTGGTGCCGCCGCTATCGCAGCTTACGAAGAAGTTGCTCCCAGAAGGCGTTGCTGATGCTGCTGCTGCTGCTGCTGTCGCTGCTGCAGCTGCTGCTGCTGCTTCTTCTGATGCCTCTCCTACTTTGTTGTCTGATAGACAAACACAAGAAGACACAGTCATAGCGGTAAAGGCCCCTGCTCTTCATCCCCCAGTTCGAGGGGGCCCCCAGAAAAGAAGTGCATATAAACGCAGCTTATTCAAGTGCTGCTGCTGCTGCAGCAGAAGCTGCTTTTAGTTAATGCTGCTGCTGCTGTGGCAGCAGCAGACGCTGCTGCATATGCTGCTGCTCTTGCTGCTGCTGGGTGCTCTTTCTTTCCTCCGCAACAACCCTGCTGCAGCCACTGCTTGTTATTGTGGCTGTGCAGGTGAATCTCAGCAACAGCAGCAGCAGCAGCAACAGCAGCGGAGGCAGCAGCAGCAGCAGCAGCAACCTTTCCTGCTGCTGCTTAGCTACCTCGCTGTACACTACCCAATAAGGAAGTCCCCCGCATGCTGAGGCCTATCCCAGTGGCTGGTGCTACTGGTGCTTCTGGCCTGGCCCCTGCTGCTGTTGCGGTTGCTGCTGCTGCTGCTGCTGCGGTGTTGCTGCTCCGAGCAGCAAAGGGCTTTGCTCTGCTGCCCACCGTCCCTGCAGCAGAGCCCCGAAAGAAAGAGGAGTGCTCTGGAGGCAGCCATTAGCTGCTTCTCCCTGGCCTTGATGCTGCTGCTCATCCTGCTGCAGCAGCAGCAGCTGCTGTTGCTGCTGCTGCTGCTGCTGCTGCTGCTTCAGACTTATGTGGGGCTTAGGCTTTAGAGAAGGGAAGTCAACAGCAGAAAAGGTAAACGAGGGCTGGTGGTGCTGCTCACCCTGCTGCTGCTGCTGTTGCTGCTGAGGAAGGTGCCTCTGGCCTGGCCTTTGCTGCAGCAGCCCTCCGCCCCACACGAAGTTGCCGCTGTGGGGTGTTGCAGTTGCTGCTGCTGCTGCTGCTGCTGCTTTATGGGGCCCCCCCCCAATTAAAGTGCTGCTTCGGGGCCCCCCAGGCCCAGCAGCAGATAAAGAAAGAACGAGCGGATTAACACCATGCAGCACATCTTCTGCAGGTATAGCCTGCGGAGCTTGCTGCTCCTGCTGCTTCTGCTGCTGCTGCTGCTGCTGTTCCTGCTGCTGCTGCTGTTGGAGATGGTGGGCAAAATGATTGTCTCTCTGCTGCAGTGTCTCCTCACTTGTGCTGCTGCTGAGGGCGCTGCTTCTCTGGCTGGCGGCTGCTGCAGTTTTATTAAAGTCTCTTGAACTCTCCTTCTGCTGAACGGAGACAAAGGGGGCCCCGCTCTTGGGGCCCCCACAGGGCCCCACAGGGGGCCCCTCACCCACACTGCGGGTGGGGCTAGGTAGAGGAGGTATGTCCCCTCTATATTGCCCAGACATTGCGCTCTTAGCAGCAGGTGGCAGCTGCTGCACCTGCTGCTGCATCTCCTGCTGCTGCTGCATCTCCTGCTGCTGCTGCTGCGGATGCTGCTGTTGCTGCTGCTGTGGCTGCTGCTGTGCCTGCTGCTGCGGCTGTGGTGGCCGTTGAGGGGAATGATGATGATGATGATGATGGTGCTGCAGTGGCTGTTGCTGCTGTTGCAGCTGCATTGCCTGCTGCTGCTGCTGCGGTTGCTGCTGCTGCTGCTGCAGGGTTTGCCTGCTGAGGGCTGCCTGCGTTGTAGAGGCGAGAGAACTTAAGAGTTTGAGCTGCGCCTCTAAAGGCGGTGGGGTCTGATGAATAGGGTCCCTTGTATGGATCTGTGGGTGGCAGCTTTGCTGCTGCTGCTGCTGCTGCTGCTGCTGCTGCTGCTGCTGTCTCTGCATATGGTGCTGCAGGTGCAGCTGCTGCTGCACCTGGACCTGCTGCTGCTGCACCTGGACCTGCTGCTGCTGCACCTGGACCTGCTGCTGCTGGACCTGCTGCTGCTGCTGCTGGACCTGCTGCTGCTGCTGCTGGACCTGCTGCTGCTGCTGGACCTGCTGCTGCTGCTGCTGGATATGAAGGGGCTCTAGAGTAGGGAAGCCTAAAGGTATATCCTTTGTCCTAATATGCTTTAATATCTTCTGCCCGTGATGAGCAGCCCCACCCTCATGCCAGTGCCGCAGCAGCCCCAGCAAGTCGCTGCCCTTGCATGTACACTTCGGACACTGAAAGTATCCATCAGGGCCCCTTAGGCGCTGCAGCTGCTGCACTAGATGACCCCTCTGAGAGACATGTGCAGCAAAAAGAGAGAGAGCAGACGCAGGGAAGGCCTCTAAACAAGAGGGACAATAATAAAAAACTTGCTTGCCCCGGGGCCCTGAACGAGAAGAGACACAGCCCCCGCTCACACGCCGCTGCTGCTGCTGCTGCTGCTGCTGTTGCTGCTGCTGCTGCTGCTGCTGCTGAGGCTGCTGCGGATCCAGCAGGCCTTCAGGGGCCCCTCCTAAAGCACCCCTGCTGAAGGCAGGGGGCCCCTTAGGGGCCCCCACACTGTGCCTTGGGCTACGAGGCCCCAGCTGCATAGAGGGCCCCACACCTACACCTCTAACAATGTCTTGCCTGTAAGGATTGAAGTCTGTAGGGGCCCTAGGGGGCCCCTGCAGCAGCACTGGGGGGCCCCCCATAGGGCCCCTACGCTGATACGCATGCAGCACCATAGGACTAAGACGATAACGAGGAGACACACATACAGAGCCGGAGACAGATGTCTCTCCTCGGGTCCCTGCTGCTGTGTTGCTGCTGCTGCTGCTGCTGCTGCTAGGATAAGCTGGAGACAGTCTCTTCTCAAACCCACGAGGGCCCCCTCCACCCCCAAAGCTACAGAACGCACCCCCAGCAGCAGGAGACAGCAAGCCGCTGCTGCTATGCTGCAGCTCTTGTACAGTTGAGTTGTGGGCCCTCATAGCAAACGAAGACCCCCAGGCCTCATCTATAGGAGGGCAGGTATAGCCCCACACTCCGCTGTCTCCATCGAAGAAAAGAGAAGCGCTGCTGCTGCTGCTGCTGCTGCTGCTGCTGAAGCAAGGAGACCCCGATCTAGCAGCACCAGCTTCACCTAAAGAAAAACCTAGCGGTGTTGAAGAGACAGCAGCCCCCACAGGCGGAGACACAGTGTCTCCAGCAAGAGGCTGCATGCAGTCAGGCCGAGCTATGGGCCTCTGCCAGTGCGGTACAGGGCCCTGCTGCTGCTGCTGCTGCTGCTGCTGTTGCTGCTGCTGCTGCTGCTGCTGCTGCTGCTGGCTGCTGCATAAGCCATTCCCGTCTCTATAGGAAGGCAAACTCATGCCTAGAAAAGGTTCGTCTAGAGACGAACAAAACGCTGTATGGTGCCTGTCTCCCCCGCTGCTGCTGCTGCTGCTGTTGCTGTTGCTGCTGCTGCTGCTGCACTGCTGTGTGCTGCTGTCGCTGAAAGGGAAGTTGCTGCCGCTGTCGCTCCCACCCGGAAGAAGTGCTTTGGAGGCCTCCGGATGCGCCCCAGCAACAGCAGCAACAGCAGCAGCAGCAGCATCAATTAGCTGCTGCATCTTCGTGTCACACCTCCCTGACAGCAGCAACCGATGGAGACGCAGCAGGTGCTGCGTAAGTTTATCAGAAGCCTCGTTAAGAGGAGGAGACCCATCTGCCCCCTCCTCCTCCTGCTGCTGCTCTTCTTGTTGCTCCTGCTGCTGTTGCTGTTCCTGCTGCTGCTGCTGCTGCTGTTGAGGGGGCTGAGCCGCCGGTGTCTCCTGGATGCCTTGCTGCTCTTGCTGCAGGGGCTTACGCTGAAGCTGCTGCTGCTGCTGCTGTAGTTGTTTATTCCTTTGTTGTGATTCCAGCTGCTCAACCTGCGGCAACAGCAACAGCAACTGCTGCTGCTGCTGCTGCTGCTGCTGCTGCTGCTGCTGCTGCTGCTGCTGCTCTGCTGCAGGACCTTCGCTGCGATCCGGGGGCACGCTCTGCTCCCCCTGCAAAGTGTCTCTCAAGCCTGAAGCCTCCATTAGTTAATTAGAGACTGTCTCCTTTCTTTGCTGCAGATGTTATTCTTTGAGAGTTGAGAGATGATGGTGCTGCTGCAGCTGCTGCTGCTGCAGCTGCTGCTGCTGCTGCTGCTGCTGCTGCAGCTGAGGCGCAGAAAGCTGCTGCTGCTGCGCGTGTCTCAAGGCTATCAACGCCTAGCGAGCCAGGAGACATATAAAGAGTATTTATAAAGTAAATACACAAACAATAAGGAAAAAAAATAAGAGGGAGGGGGGAGAAAGAGAGAAGGAGGTTGAGAAGGTCTCCCGATGCGGTGGCGTGCTGCTGCGTCGCGGTGAGCGACGCGGCAGCGAAGCAGCAGCAGCAGCAGCAGCAGCAGCAGCTGCTGCTGCTGCTGCAGCAAAGTGCAACTAATACCTCGGAATCCCCCTCTTTAAAACTAAATAATTGAATTCTTATGAAAATTAAACCTAATAAAAGCAAACAAACTATAAACAGCAGCAGCTCAGATGACTTGGGGGTCCATCGCTCACGGCCTCAGCAGCAGCAGCAGCAGCATCAGCAGCAGCAGCAGCAGCAGAAGCATGAGACCGCCACTGTTTTGTAGGGAATTTTGAGTGTCTCCACTTAATAACTAAATAAAGAAGCAGCTTAAATAAAATAAAACATTTTAAAGAAAAATAAAACAGAGAGAGAGACATGAGACACATACACAAATCTATAGGCCCTGGGGCTCGCCCTGCGTGTTGCTGCTGCAGCAGCACAAGCATTTCTGCTGCTTTTTTTCTTCTTTTTATTTATATTGAATTATGATCGTCTTTATTAACAACTATATCTCCAAATAAAACAAAAAGGAGACAATAAAAACCCTCAATAAACCCCACACCTCCCTCGGTGACCTGATATGAGCGTCGCTCTCGCAGCAGCAGCAGTAGCAGCAGCTGCTGCTGCTGCTGCAGCAGCAGAGGCAGCAGCAGCAGCAGCAGTAATTGCAGAAGCAGGTAAGGAGAGGCTTATAGTTAAAAGAGAAGCAAGAAAATCTTTTTTATATTCTAAAGGCAGCAGCAGCAGCAGGGGTGTGGGGAAGGCTTTGCTGCTGCTGCTGAGGCTCGTCGCTCACGATGTTGCTGCTGCTATTGCTGCTGCTGCATTCGCTGTCTCTGTCTCTCTTTGATCTTTTCTTTGCTGTCTCTCCTTGATTAGGGGTTTTATTTTTAGTTTATAGTCAAGTCACAGACAAGCAGCAGCAGCAAACTATTGTGTGCTGCTGCTGCTCAATCTCGAGGAGGCCCGCTGCTGCTGCTCTGTGGAGTGTACGCCTTAATCTCTACTTATAAGCATAAATTTTGCTGCTAATAATGCTAATGCTGCTGCTGATGCTGGTGGGTGGTGCTGCTGCTGCTGCTTATGATGATGCTGCTGTTGCTGCTGATGCTGCTGCTGCTGCCGCTGCAGCACGTAGAGGATCTGCTGCTACTGTTACTGCTGTCACTGGCACCATCATCAGCAGCAGCATCACTGCTGCTGCTGCTGCAGCAGCAGCTCCTGCTGCTCCTGCTGCTGCGGCTGCTGCTATTGCTGTTGCTGCTACTGGTGCCGCTGCTGCTGCTGCTGAAGGGAGACAAAGGAAGCAGCATCGGGTCTCACATCTCCTTCAAGAGGAGACAGTAGCTTGCTGCATTCTGTCTCTAAGAACACCATAGCCCGACTTAATATAATTATTTTCTTGCGCAGTAATATAAAACCCGAAGACAAAGAAAGCAGAAGGATAAACTCCTCTGCATGCAGAGAGATAATTGAGTTGCTGCTGATGCTGCGGCTGCTGATGATGGTGTTGCTGCTGTTGCTGTTGCTGCTGCTGCTTCTGCTGATAATGAGGCTGTTGTTTCTGATGTTGCTGCTACCGCTTACAATGATGATGTTGTTGCTGCTTCTGCTGCTGCTGCTGATAGTGCTGATGTTGCTGCTGCTGCTGACGCTGCAGCAGCAGCAGCAGCTGCTGCGGTCTCTGTTTACAATTCTTTACCGGTGTGTCTGCAGCCAACAGCAGCAAATTGGGTTGGAGGCCTCTCCCTATAAAGACAAATAGATATATATATATATAATATGCATAATAAGTCTATTATACATATAAATATATATATTATATATAATATATATAATATATTATAACAGTAAGAAGGCTTACGAGAGAGCAGCAAAATGAAAACAAGTTGAGAAAAAACGAAGGAAGTATCTCGCAGCAACATTTATTTATTTATTTTAGCTAAATAATTAATATATTTATTTATTTATTTATTTATTTATTTTGTTAAATTTATTATTATGCTCCAACACGAGAGATGAGGAGACACTTAAACTGTCTCCTTTAAAGTTTGCAGACAAAAACCCTCTTTACTGTCTCCAGACATTTAGCAAAAAGGTAATATTATAAATTATATATTAAAGCTGTGCATACACCCCAACTACATTAATAATATATGCATGCAGAGGAGGGCCTCTTGCTACATTAATTGAGCGAAGGAGCCAGACAGAGACAGGCAAACAACTGTCTCTCCCTCAAAACCCTAAACCCTAAACTCTAAACCCTAATCCCTAAACCCTAAACCCTAAACCCTAAACACTAAACCCTAGCACCCTAGACCCTAAACGCTAAGCCAAAAACCCTAAACACTAAAACCTAAACACTAACACCCTAAACCCTAAACCCTAAACCCTAAACCCTAGAGCTCGTAGGGGTGTCCTGTAGACAGTGCTCGTTGAATTAATTTTATCTTTAACTTTTAATTATAGTATTTATTTTAATACTTTCTATCTTGCAATATTTTTAAATTATATATTTTTAATAAAAATAAATAAATAAATAAATATATTTAAATAAAATAGTCATATATAAATATATGATTAAGATATTTTCTTGTAGCTAATATAATTATTAATGATAAATAAAAAATATTATATATATATATATATATATTACATTATATCTATTATATCTTTAATTAAAATTAAAATAGTTAATTGCTCATTTCCTCCTTTGAAGTGAACCGCACAAAGCTGCTTCAGCCTAACTTTAAATAAAAAGAATAACAGCAGCAAAGTTTAGAAGTAGAGTAGAGACAAGCAGCGACAGCATATATAAATATAAATTAATAGTTTTAAGAGTAAACCCCTTCGCTGTACACAAACATTGCTTGCCTGTACATTATCCTTTTCTTTGTATTGTCTATCTATGTATACACGGGTATGTATGATATATATATAATATATATATAATATTATATATATAGGGTTCTATATAATATATAGTAGTGTATATATGTACTGCATATATATATTATATATATTATATATATTACATATACATACATATATATATATATATATATACATATATATGTATATATATATATATATATAT